GCTTCCCCCTCCTGGTCGCCGCGCTCCAGCTGCACTGTCCGCCCGCGCAGGAGCTGCGCACGGCCCTGGGCGACGTGCAGAAGATCTGCCACCTGCGTCTCGCCTCCCTCCTCGGCGCCGGCCCCGCCCGGCTGTCGTGGCCGTTGGGGACCGCGGCCCGGCTCTGCGCGCCCCGGGCCGGGGGCTGACTTAGGCGGGGAGTGGCGTCCACGCGCGCGCACAGAGGAGGTGGAGAACTGAGGCAATCCCGGAGCGATGAGCCCTCTTGTCCACCCACCCAGAAGCGCACGCGTTGCCAATATCTATATAGTTTAACGTTTCGCCCCGATGTGTCCAGCTCCTGCTTCAATTCTTCACTGTCTTTGCGGATCCCAAAGCGCCTGTCCAGCTCTTGTTGGCTCCCCACCCTCTCCTGCTAAGCCCGAGCTGCAAAGCAAAACGGACGGAGAAGGAACCTGTCCCACAGCGGTTTGTCTGTTTGTCTCTTCTTCTCCCTCCTCGACTGCTGCACCCGAAATTTGCATGGGCGCGGAAGCGGCTTTCTCGCTCCGGGGCACCTCGGGGAGCCGGGGACAGCAAAACAAGGCCCTGGCCTGGGTCCGGGGATGCGGGGAAGCCTCGGGAGGGGTGCGGTGGACCGGGGAGAGGCTCGCGAAGGGCCCGCGTTGGGAAGCGTCCCATGGGGGCGGCGGAGTCGCCACAGCCCTTGATCCTAAGACAGGGTGGCTCGCGCTGGGTGCCGCGGCCCTCGGGGCCCTCGGGATGAAGGTGGGACCCCACGGTGCCCATAAAATGGGGGGAAATCAGTGCCCATAGAAATCTTTTCTGGCAGAGTAGCCGGCTATGGGGAGCTTGTCAACCCCAACCCCGGGCACCAGAGCCCAGCTGGACTAAGTAGCTCCCTTCGCCGGCGGCCAGAACGTCCATTGCGGGCGAGAACGTCAGCATCGGTGCAGGAGGGGCCTCCACAGCCTCTCTCGCACACGCACACGGAAGCTGCAACGGCAAAGACCGCCCAGGGTTCTGTTGGCAGAGGAGAAACTAACCGTCCGTGCCCTTCCCCACGCAGACGGGGTAAAGGCAGAGCTGGCGCTTTTGCAGACAAGAACCGCCACTAGTGACCAACCCCGTTTAGAGTTAGCAGCATCCAGAAAGCCTTCCTACCGTAGAGAGCTGCGTGGCCACACCTTGGGTTCTGGGCTGATGTCCACAGAAATAAATCACCCCGGGAGCACTAGGAAGTTCAGTCAAGGAAACTCCTTCCCCCTTTCCCATCATACGGGTGGGTACTGCCTGCTAGTAGTAAGGGTGAAGGCAAGAGAAGCCGGTGGCAGGTGCCAGGAAAGCGGGCTGGGCCACCAGCCTTTCTGGGCTTGTGCCCAGACACCTTCTCTGGGTGTAGGAGCACCAGGTGCACAGCAAGGAGAAAGCTCGATGACTCAAGTTCCTCCACTCGGGGACCCTGAGACAAGGGTGGGGTGCCCACGGCTTGGGTCTTGACGCCTGTCTCCCTCTAGCCAAAGTATCTTGGGGAATTTCCTGACACACATGAGAACCTACTGCGTGGTGAAGAAGATATTCTGACCTGGGATCCAAATATCACAGTCTGGGTCTGAGATTCAGAATAATCCACTGTTCTCGAAGCACCCTGTCTAGCCCTGGGGTGAATACAATGCTTAGATAGGCCCCCAAATGCAGAGTCGGCGCTTTTTATGTGCTCAACATAAGATGTGCAGAACCCAGCAGGGTAAAACTCCCAGCCATATTCTCAGCATGAGTGGAGGTGTACGCCGGACCTCTCAGGCTACACCGGGTGTCTCCAATTACACAATTACATTTCGACAGTTCAAAGCTTGTCTGGGACATTGTTTATTCCGAAGGGGAGGGGTACCGGGTGGGTGCAGACGCTGGATCTTTCCCTTTCGAAGGAGCTGGAGGTGAGGGACTGAGGGCCGGCTGCGCAGTGCCTCTTCCAAAGACGCCAGAGCACTGGCAGACGCGGGGACGAGCGCGGGCCGCTGCACGTGGGCGCCAGGCCCCGCAGCATCCAGGCAGAAGCCACTGGCGGCGCTTACTTTCCCCTTCGGGAGGAGCGAAAAGACGAAGGCCGTTCCTCGCGCGGGCAGGTCACCCGTGGCCGCCGAGGTCTGGCAGGGCAGTTTTCTACGGCCCCATCTCGGTCCAAACAGCGACATGCCCTGGGCTTCTGCCGGCCTCGGCCTGGCAGAGACACTTTCTCGTTTCTGTCCTCTGGTGCGCAGGACGCGGGAGACGAGCCCCGGGTGCAGGGACCGGGCCACCGACCCGGACCGCAGCGCGCACGCCAGCCGCAGCCGCGAAATGAAGGGGCGCCCCGGGGCGCGGCCGGCGACGAGCGTCAGGGGGCACAGAAGTGGTCGACGCAGATTCCAGGGTGAACAATTCGTAGTTTACTTACTAATTCGTTAAAAAACAAAAATAGAACAAAAAGAACCACGGTGCTAATGCTAAGAAGAGTTGGATGGCGAGACGCTGATCTGTTTCTGTAACCCGACAACCCGACCATGGACAAGCCCTGACGGGGTGGGGGGTGGCTTCACCGATTTTCTCCTCCCTTTGAAATGTCCAAGCCCAGTCCAGCTAATGCTCTGAGTACAATGACAGGCGATCGCAGCTCCCGCTAGGAACCGAGGAGCCGAATCCGAGCTTGCCGCTCACCCGTGTACCTGGGAAACTGAATGGGGCCTCCACTTTCTTTTACCCAGAAAGATAGGCTTTTTGGTCTGTGTGTCCAAAAGGTGTCCACAGACACCGAAAGAAAAGGAGGAAAAGGCAACACAAATTCTACGCATAAACTTTACTCATTTTAAATTTGACACATTTCCAGAGAGCGGCCACAGGATATAGGTTCTGACTCAAAAACAGAGAAGTGTTCTACTTAGAAAGTATTTAGTGAGGCAAGTATTTAGTGAGTATTTAGTAGATGGATGCTTTCTTTCACAATTGGAGAAAAATATGGAATGAAAATTATGGAAAATTTACCGTTCAATAAGCTAATAAACAGCAGTTAGCAGGTACCTGTGAGAGAGAAATAATTAGGATGTGGAAAGTGTGCAGACTTGTAGCAGCAGCAGAACCCGATTGTTCTGGTACTACTGGACGCAGGACGTGGGGTTGAGGAGTTTATATTTCCTGAATCATGCTAGTTGGTTTTGTGTTGGGGATGCAATGTTTCCAGGGCAGCGCCAGCAGCTGGAGTAATAATTAACATCTGTACAGACTGCTATGAGTTGCGAAGAATGCACACACAGCAGCTCACTTAATTTTAGGGACTTGAACAGCGAGCTGTGTGATCTGGGAAAGTAATTCAACCTCTCTGGGCCTCGGATTCTCCTTTGTAAAAAGGAAAGGCTGGAGACTCTAAGATCCCCTGCTCCCCCCTAGGCACAGCAGCGAGCCAATTGGCCCTGCCACTCAAGGAGAGCTGGACCTTTATCTGAGCTCCTTCCCTCATCCACGTAAAACGTACCCTCTAGGGCTTCCTAGGAACTTATTTCCATATGATAAACAAAGGTCATTCCAGGCACGAGACAATGGTGAGTGAACAAATGTTAACTGAAGGCCCTCCACGCCAAGGCCACGTGGTGACATTTGGCTAGTGCCTGTCGGAGAACCTAGTTTTCCCTAGCAGCAAGCAGTTTCCTTTGAGGTGCAAGCCCAGGTTCCCAGTGGGGGCATCAATTTGTGAGGTCCACCAAATACCTCTTTCGCAGAGATGTAAATTATTCTCTGTGCTCATCCACCGCACAGAACTGGGGTGTGTTATACAGTGTCCAAGCAGTGTTCACAGACCCTAAGTTCAGGAAAAGTAAGAAAATGGGCAACTACTATTTATTTGCATAACTTTCATCCAATGAGCAAAACCAGATTTCTGTACTCAAATATTAGCCCCTCTCCTGAGGCTCTTTATTTTCCTTGATCTCCTGGCTGTGAGAATATATTTTGGACAGAGGAGCACAAAAATATGTATTCCCTGACTTGGATCAGAAAGCATGGCAGCCCCTCCATAAAAGGATTAGTGAAACAGATGTTTTTCTTTATCCCATTGTCCCGCAGCCAGGTCCCCAAGTGGTAAACCTCTAGCCCACCAATGACCTCCCATGAATTCAGGAACTTTTCTTCAGGTAGAGAGGAACAGACATCCGTTTGCTTGGGAGGAAAACATTCCTCACTCCCCTGGGCAAGGACACATCTGCTCCTGTGAATGAAACCTGGGCAGCTGTGGACAGCTGAGACCTCCCTGCTGCTGAGGATGAACATGTTGGGCTCCATTGTGGCCTGATGGGGCTGGACAGGTGGTGGGCTCTGGGAGGCCCCACAGAAAGGACGCCATCATCGATTTCCTTCCCAGAGATGTTAGCTGAGTGGGCTGGGGCAGGGCAGAGTGGGGTTGCTGGGGTCAAACCATCTATTATTGAGCCCTGCTTTGTGTGAGTGGACTGCTGATTGAGTGCAATGGCTGAAAGACTCCCTAAACTCCAAATTAAGTAGAGATTGAGCAGTTTTTCCACAGCAGCATAGACTGCCATGCTGGATAACTTTATCAGACATTTTCTTACTTTTCACTCTTTCTAAATTACCCTGGAAATTCAGGTCAATGCAGGTTGGGGGTGTCCTGTGTAGGGGAGGGGGGCATGGAAGCACTGCATCATTTGGATAGTTTTCTTGATCTAGAAGGGATTCAGAAAGTAGACTTACATGCTAAGATGGGTAGAGATGGCCTGACCTCTCTGGGTTATGTGGGTCACTGGGCTCTCCAGTTTCCAGGAGCCACAAATATTGGGCAGAGCAGGGTCCCCCTAGCCAGAGCAAACACCTGGGACCTTTGAGCAGGGAGGGATCTGTGGGTTTAAGGAGTGCCTCATCTGCCTGGCAGGCAGCCCGCCCCTTCCGGCAGCCTCCAGCTCCCCATCCCCCTCCTCGGCCCCTGCCCTTGCCACCAGCCAGGATCCTGGAAGCCTGGACCCTTTCTGAGGAATGTAGAATGGCCTCTATACCATCAGTAACAAAGAGACATCCCCTTTGATAACCTGATTGTGGCTGCCCCTGCAGTCTTCCTGTCGCTTTGTTTACCTGGGTCTCTTTCTTCCCACCCCCTAGTGCCCTTAAAAGTCGGCTGGGGGTGGGGGTCACAGGTTCTGCCCTGGCCCCGAGCTTCCTGAACAAGTTTGCCTCCCCCAAAGCTATTTGCTGTAGGTTTCCCTGGCCCATTAGCAGGTTGGTGACTGAGAGGTACAAGATGGAAGAGCACCTCCAGAAGCGGGGTATGGGGATGATAAGTTTGCCTCCCCCAAAGCTATTTGCTGTAGGTTTCCCTGGCCCATTAGCAGGTTGGTGACAGAGAGGTACAAGATGGAAGAGCACCTCCAGAAGCGGGGTATGGGGATGATCATCTCTGTCCCGACCTGGGGGTTCTTAGCTCGGGCCAAAAGGCTCTCAGAAAGCCACCAAATGCCTTCTGCCTAGGACTAAGACAGCCCTGATGCAGGTGGCTGCTGCATCCTTCCAGGGCCACACACCTGCATTCAGAGGGCTACCCAGAGTGGGCTTCTAGAGGACAGGTACAGGCCATCAACCTGCCAGGGGCTAGGGCTATCCAGATGAAGAGACGCCCAAGCTCCCTTCTACCCTTCTCTGACTGCTCCCACAACCTTGCTCCTTCCTGGGACCCAGCTGAGCCCTCTCTTGGCTGAGAGGGCAAGCTGGATGTGGGACAGACACTACTTCCACTCTGAGGAGCCTGCTCAAGGACATCATTTACCAGTTCCTTCCCCTCATCAAGCAGCCCAGACCCTGGGACCTTAGGCGGGGCCATGTGACGGCCATGGAGGCCCATTACGGCAATGAGAGAAACCGAATGGTTTTCACGATGGCTTCCTTTTCCCAACTCCGGCACCCTAAGTGAGCTGGCTCGGGGCCTACTTTGACTTGTGGGGGTTGAGCAGCCCTGGCCACTCCCAAAGCAGTTGGGTGTGAAGGCCAGAGCCCCTTCTCCAGGGCAGAGCACAGAGACACAGCTGGAAAACCAGGACAATTAGCCAGTGGCCGGCGGCCTGGGCCATAAAAACGCAGGAAGCCGCCACCGCAGTGCGGAGGGGATGACTGTCCCTAATAAAGCGATTGTTCCAAAGAATGCTGGCATTCCGAAAACACAGGCTTGAGTCTCAGCCTTGGAGGGAACGGAAAGGGGGATTGTGTCGCCAGGAAGAAGAGAAAGATGTTTGCTAGATCAAAAGTCCCCCGTGCCCACTACTTAACCTTTCACATTCCCACCCCATCAGGCCTGTGGACACCCCCTTTCAGCCCTCTCCTCAATGACTTGGGTTCTGTAATAGGGTTTGTAATTCGGTGGTACTCAGCTGTCTGAGCCAGGCCCAGGAGGGCCTCCGGGAGGACCAGCTCGGTCTCCCCTCTTGAGTGCGCAGCTACTCAACACTTCCATACCCTGTCACCCCCAATTTTAACCTTCTTCTTTACAAAACACAAAGAGCGAGCAGAACCAGGAAGCACTAGATCCTTCAGCCCCAGGTTAGTGCCGATCGCAGTCGGTCTGTCCGCGCTAGGCAGCTTGGAGATTGTCACCTGTAACACGGGCAGGATAACAACACAGGCCTTGTCCCCGATCCTGGGAGATGTGAGGATCAAGGGAGATAAAGGACACTGGAAAGAGCTCTAGAGATGACAGATGAAGGCGATGGTGACAAATACCTGAGAGAAACGCTTGACAAAGAACCAACAAGTGCAGGTCTCTAGGAGAGCGGCCAGCGGCCGCGGATTCGGAGGGCACTCAAAGCGTCAGGTCAGGCTGCCCAGCCCGCCGGACCCGGTCACTGTGACCCTCACATCAGAGTTCCGCAGCGCCGACAGGGGTCTCAGAGGCGGCAGAAGGCGACTGCTGGCCCGCCCCGCGCCGTCGCTGAGCGGAGATGGGCGCGCGGGAGCCGAATCTCGCCGCCTCTGCGCTCCCGTCCGGGCGGTTCCCGATCCGGGCCGCGCAGCTTCGGTCCACACGGTGGCCACTTCCAGCCCTGAGCTCTTTGGCCACAGAGCTCGAAAAACCAAGAAGGATCCTTTCTTAACCTTTTCCTACTCAGAGGTTTTCATGAGCAATAATTAATAACAGCGCCGGTTTGCTTTACCATCCCCTGGAGATGAAAAAACAAATTTCTGCAGAGAATGTTTTACTCTTTGTAAAGGAGAAAGTGTTCTTAAGACATAGGTATGATGTGATATATATAAACATTTAGGCGCTTATTAGCAGAAATTCTAGCCTCCCTTTTCTTTGATTTTTAACTTAAGTATAATAAACATACACGGGTAGCTCGCTGAATTTTGACAAACTGAACACTCCGTGTAACCAGCCCCTCGCTCAAGAAAA